TTATGACGTCATTCCTTTATCAATTGGCACCAATGACGTCATATTGCAAGGGCATAAGCCATGGTGTGTTTATTATGGAAATAGATCTCTCTGTAAATGTGAAAAATATGAACCGATTTTATGAATAAAATAAATTTGATACGTGTGATATTTTAATTGTTTTGCCTCCGAAACTACTAGGTAAATACTTTTCATGATGAAAAAGTACAAGAAAAATAGGTTTATTTTCGTGTGAACTTGCCCTTTAAGTAAAAATAACACAGATAAGTCCATCATTAGATACATCATTTCAGCAGATACAAGATACATCATTTCAGCAGATACAAGATACATCATTTCAGCAGATACAAGATACATCATTTCAGCAGATACAAGAAACAGTAGAGTGATGGACTAATGCAGAGGTTCAGATTGGGTTGCGGATAGAATAGATAAATTATATTTAGATATTGTAAATTATATGCCTTTGAAAGGTGGATTTTATATAGATTTACCCCCATATAAGAAAACACAAGCCATAAGTAACGTTAAAAATAATCATGATAACTGTTTAAGATGGGCATTAAGATCTGCTTTATATACTGTAGATTCTAAAGAAAGACATCCAGGGAGGCTTCGACTATCACCAAAATGATGGACTTTGAAGGTACAGATGCACCTACACCAATCTCACAAATTATTTATGTAGAAAAGCAAAATAATTTAGACATAAATGATTTCGGTCATTTTAAAGGAACTGTTGTACACAAGATAAGCTCCATGTTGAAAACGATGATAGATATCATTATACATGGATAAAGAGTTTAAGCAGGATATTATATAGCTACACAAAACTTAAGTAATAGAAATATATCCGTTAAAGATGTCTACATTGATACTGTAGACAAGATCTTGTAGAAGCACATAAAGAAGACTGAAGAGGTGTTGATCATGGTCGATATGCCCAAAGAGGGCGAAATTGCATTAAAATTTGATCGTTATTGTAACACAATGCCAGTACCATACATAATTTAGGCGGACTGTGAAGCTCATATTACACAGATTGAAATAAAGCGACAAAACCCTTTCCATATCCAATACAAATCTCTGCATAAAGCAGAGTCGATTGGGTGATTCTGACTATATCATTGGCATGTGTTTATGAATCACTGTCAAAGAGTAATGATACCAAGGTGAGCGTATCCTGCCCCACTGGTTGCATTCATCACAAACACATGCAAAGACAAGTCAATTGTTCACCTGAATAAACACGGGAACATATGGTACAAGTCAATATACTGAACACAATACTGAACACAATACTGAACACAATACTGAACACAATACTGAATACAGTTTTACATACAAAACTCGAGAACATGAGTGAGTGAGTGAGTATGGTTTTACGCCGCTTTTAGCAATAATCCAGCAATATCACGGCGGGGGACACCAGAAATGGGCTTCACACATTGTACCCATGTCGGGAATCGAACCTGGGTCTTTGGCGTGACGAGCGAACGCTTTAACCACTAGGCTACCCGACCGCCCCCGAGAACATGAGGCTTGTTGGTTTGGATATATAGCTGTAAGGTGTGATGGTGTAACAAATGCTCGTGTGATTTACAGAGGTCCTGATGCAGCAGAAATGTTCCTGGAATCTCTACAAAATGAAGGGAGAACCATCAGGGAAAATGTATGCATAAGCAATCCACGTGTATGACAAAGGATGGAACTATCAGGGAAAATGTATGCATAAGCAATCCACGTGTATGACAAAGGGTGGTTGGAGAGTCTATAGGAAGGCAACAAGTTGTCGTGTTTGTAATAAACCCCTGAATGGGATTCTGTAAAAGATTTTTTTCACATCACAGGTAAATATAGACGAGCTGCACATAATGAGTGTAACTTAAAACTTATGATATAAACCCTAACAATACCAATCCCCGTTGCATTTCATAATCTTAGAGGATATGATTCTCATCTCATCATGCAAGCTATCTCAAAGACTGATAGCTGTTTACTAATGACATGTATTTCTAACAATATGGAAAGATATATATCATTCTCTTTCACTAAAACTATACATTATACAGACAAGGGTGGGAAAGCAAGAACAAAACAAAGTAATTCATTGACAGCGTACAGTTTCTGTTATCTTCTCTGGCAGTTTAGCTAATGCAAACGATCCTGACGACTTTTCTGTAACAAATCAGTTTACATTATTAGATTACTTGACATGTGTTGCTGAGAAAGGTTTATATATCCTTACGAATACATGGATGATTGGTCTAGATTTGATGAAACTAAATCACCACCTGTTGAATCATTTTATAATAACTTAGCATAATCTAAAATAACTGATGCAGATTATAAACAGGCTAATGTGTGGGATAAATTAGGTTGCGAGAATTTTAGGTGATTATCATGATCTTTACTTAAAAAACTGATGTATTGAGGTATTTATAAAGACCTGTTTAAATATGGTTTGGATCCACCATGGTACTATTCCAGTGCCGTAATTTCGTGGGATGCATTGTTGAAGAAGACTAATGTAGAACTAAAACTACTTTGCTGATTATGTTATGCACTTGTTTATTGAGAAAGTATTAAAAGGTGGTATATCGATGGCAACGAAAGATATTCAAAGGAGTGAGTGAGTTTGGTTTAACGCCGCTTTTAACAGTATTCCAATTACATCACGGCGTGTCAGCTTAATGCGGGAGGAAAGCACGAAGGGTGCAGGTCTCAGACGTTTACCACTTCGGTGAAACCCAAGAGCACGGGTATGGTGCTGACAGACCTAGAAACATAATCGGCGCGAACCGGGATTCGAACCCACAATCATAGGTTTCTGTCGTGGCCAAGGGACGCAACTCTGCATAGCGAATCGCGGCGCCTTAGACGACTGGGCGGCGGCGTTAAACCCAACTCACTCACTTGACTTGTCAAAACACTTAATATACGACTTTTATTACAATGAACTAAAGAGGCAATATGGTGATAGATGTGAGGTGTTACAAACTGATGCAGACTCTTTTTAAATGGAAATACAAACTGATGATGATATAAAGATATGACAGATAACACTGATGTAAAATTCGAAATATATTATCTGAAAGTTTCATCTTTCTGGACATGAAATTTACACTATCACTCAAGAAAAGAACGCGTACATGCTATTGAAGTGGACGTAAAATATTCTCTTGCCTCTACCTTCGAGATGTAAAGTGAAGAGCAAAAGAAACTACCTCTCAGTTGATTTGATCTTATCAACGATTTCAAATTGAAAAGATCTTAAGGTATTATATTAAAAAAAGAACAGTACTGAAAGACATACAGCCTGATTTGCTCATGGCGGGGTTCAAGAGATTTATGTAAGTCCTCTTTTCTCGTCCCATTATACATGTATAAAGCCCAAGAATGTCATTTATTTGCAGAACGCATTAAATTTGTACAAAATCAATTACTTAGCAGTATTTTCTTTTTTTGCTATAACAAATCAGATAAATTATACAACCTCAGTAATCAGGCAGCGGTAATCAGAGTGAAGGATTATGTTTAATGTCGCTTCTAGTATTTAAATTATACAACGTGCTTCCTGTGTAATGTGCAGAATGGATACACCAACGTGATCTTTGACGTAAGTATTTATCAAAGTGGTGATTCACTGCGATTAAAACACACCTGCGTCGTTCTGTTTAAACGCTCCATTACGTTTCAGGAATGGAGAGCTGTTCGTCAATTATATTTTATCTTGAATCAACATTTCAATTATTTACACTTGCAACAGACGGAACTACATGTAGGGGTGTCATTCGAGTTACACTCCAGCGATGCCCTGGTAGAGCTCCGGTAACTCACCAGTTACATAGGGGTGTCATTTACATTAATAAGAGAACTAAATATATATTTTTTGCAGGTTGTTTGTAAACTTAGATTCCTCGGAAAATAATCACAACTATATGGGGGATCGTATATCACAAATTACGTACGCACATACAGATTTCGAAATTTGTGAAAGAAAATTCTTAGTCCAACATATATTACAATATGTGTCTTTGATGTTGTATATACCGACACATTTCGAAAACTCAAGTCGTGTAATATTTGGCGTAATATCCCCAAACTCAAATGAAGTTGTTCTGTGCATGAGATATCAGACAACAATGTCGCCACAACAGAATCTGGGGTGGTACAATGACACGCCATCAGCCAAGTCGCCGTGCTTGACCAATTGCAACCGATACATTGTCACCTCTCACTGCAAGCTGGAGCTCACGTCTAACTCGGAATCACCACGGGGTTTGAATATTACATTGTGGAAATTATTATTAAACCAAAACCCACCTTCTTTTCGTCATTTTATTAAACATCTAAGTTTATAATCTTAATTTGCAAGCACAACATTTGAATAAATGAGTTGAATTGGTTGATAAATGTGTTCTTTGACAAAATACATGTTTTTGTCGATAAACTTTGATGCTGGTAGAACAGGAGTTATCGTTCTTGTTTGAAGCAGCATCTTATGTTCATGCCTATGCATTCCTTCGAGGGACACCAGTCTCCATTAGGCTTGTGCCAGAATGGCGTGAGTTGGTCACGAAGAATTCAGATGGCATTCAACACCGAGTGTGTCCGCCATTAGCGTTAACTGTTACACATCATGTAACACATTTTACTATTCGTGTTTCTGTTGTCGTACATCATATAAAATCCCGTTGTCTATGATTCTTGTTCTGTGTATAATGTTTTGTTGATACCAATTTAGAGGGAAGAATTTGGAATAAAGACGGACTGTTATAAATGAAAACCACTCTCCTTTATGTCAGGGACCCATTTAGGAGGTTAACGCAGTGTTGAACAGTATTCCAGTCATATCACGGCGTGTCAGCTTGATGTGGGAGGAGAGCCTGAAATGATGCATGTCGTACACGTTTAGCACTGGTAAAACCAGTCAGAGCGTGATGCTTACAAATTGGGGTCTGGGATTCGAACCCACGCTCAGGGATCCAGGCACGAGCCGTGGAGCAAATAGTAACCAGGTGACAACTTGTCAACATGATATAGCTTAAGTTTAAAACTTTATTAAAAACAAATTTACAAATGGCATGAGGGAAATCACCACGTAATGACACATTTAAACAGCAACGTGTTCTTACAAGACGTTACAATGAGACAGTGAAAGGAGTACGAAAAATATATAGAAATATATACATCTTTATCATGGGTTTGTGGCTTTTGGCTGCTTTTAGCTGTATATGAAGAATATCAGAATATCAGACACTGTGACATGCTAACAATCAAACCTAACCCTACAAACACTTCAACCACGATGCCGTGCTGTCCCCTCAAGGTAAAACGTTTATACTTATTGAATGTTTGGCTATAGATATGAAATATTTATCGTCATTAATATCACTGGAAATTGCAATGACAAGATCAAATGTGACCCAGATCAACTTTTCGATTGATATTTTGACTTGTTTGTTCAGTTTAATTATGGTTTGATAATCCTGTTTGCACTCATACTCTGAAGACTCTATGCTTGTTTAGAAGGTATCAAATGAATACATCCAGAGCAGCATGGCTCAACCACATCTGTATATATCCATTCTCATGAAAGGCCGAAAGAAAGTTTCCAAATTAAGATGACACATGCAGACAGAATTTGAAGCACGGCGGCAACCTGTGTGTATCCTAAACTATAAACACTAAACTTTTGAATTCCCCGAGTGTCAACACATTCACGTTTGATCTGTACTTATTTGAATTCAGATGTATATATCCAGGGCAGCATGGCTCAACTACACCTGTATATATCCATCCAACTGATAGAGACCAAAATAAATTTCATATGACGGTTTTTGAGTAAGTGGTAATAGGTGACGTTGAAAGACAGTTATAACTGATCTAGGAGAAGGGATTTGAATTGAAGAAAGACTTAGTTAACTGTATCAACTCATATCTGATATGTAGTCAGCATCCTTTGTAACTATGATTATACAGATTGTCGTGTTGTGGTCTTCAGTGTGACAAGCACAGACATTGGAGCAGCATGGCTATGGGGACACTCCAGTCCTTTAGAGTTTACATACATCGTGGAGGACAGAAGCTGGGTCCACACTAGTCCATTGGTATTGGGGGGAAATGCCTGTTGGAGAGAGAGATACATTCGTTTTATATGAACGCAGATGGAAGATGGTTAAACATGCATGTGTATATTCATTTATCATATAATGGGTAGGTTTCTCGGCAGGATAAAGCCAACGGATAAAAACGATATCCGTTTGGGTCATATGCGGATAGTGATGCAATATCAAAGGGTCAAGTTGGGACTACTTTCAGTGTTTATAAACAAACATGGCGTCGCACTTGTCATTCGGCGATCTAGTCAGAATTAACTATCGGGAATCTGGATAAACTACAGGAATAATAATTGCTACAATTATCAAAAGAACAGTCTAAAATACTGAAAATCAGTGTCGAACTGCGACGTAGCTAAGGCATTTCATAAGTTACGTCACAGTTAGACACTGATTTTCAGTATATTAGACTGTTCTTTTGATAATGACAGCAATTATCCCTGTAGTTTATCCAGATTCCCGATGGTTAATTCTGACTCAATCGCCGAATGACATGTTTGTTTATAAACAGTGAAAGTTGTCCTACTTGACCTTTGATATTTGCATTTCTATCCACATATGACCCCAACGGATATGGTTTTTATCCGTTGTAGACTATTGGCGTTGTCCTGCCGAGAAACCTACCCATTATATGATAAATACTATTATCTACGTAGAAGAAAGTATCGTCTACTATCGAATTGTCACACTGTTTTACAACGTATTAAGGTGAGTACAAAATGTACTCCAACTACAAACAAAGAAACAACTATAGGTCATTACTCAAACCTTTAGCGGAGTTATAACATGATGAAAACTGAAGAAATCACTCGAATATGTTGTTTGCCATGATTTCTCAATTACGGAAAGTAGGTTTAGGAGGTAAAACGTGAATATGAAAGCATGAGCATTATGCAAACTATAAAAAAAATATTTCAAACCAATACCCGTCATCATCCAATGAAGCACTGAAGGTACAATTCTGCAGTTTCTGTGTTTTTATTTCAGAGCTGATTGTTTGACAATTTGAAATGATCCGAGAATGTTATACAAATATGGATAGGCCAAATAAACACGCTGCCAAACATTTAATTAGTAATCAGCTAAACATAGAGGTTTGTATAAACTAGTGTCCAACTAGGGTCGCAACTTCACAAGACAATATCACTGTCTGAGTAACGAAACGTATACATTATAATTATATAAAATCGCATACGTAGACGAAAGTGTAATGGTAATGTTCGGAGACTGGCACTAACACGCTTCCATACTGTGGTGAGCCACAGTGACTGCTACAACTGGTATACAATCAATACTACAGACATATAAACTGCAGCGACCGAGCGTTCTGACACTCACCATAGATAAGAGCGGTGACGGTTGCAGTAGACGGGTGTGGTAGACGGGTGTGGTAGACGGATGTGGTAGGCGGGTGCGGTAGACGGGTGTGGTAGGCGGGGCGGTGTACAGCTGCGGCAAGGGTGCCTGCAAAAGTTGAGATTGTGATCAGATGTCATTGCTCACACACAGGAACACAAGCTTAGAACTGAATTGACCAAATGCGTGTTTTGTAAAGGGAAAGATAGGGAGGACGTTTTGAACTTCCTAAGAAAGTTGTTTGGAACAAACTGTCTATAAGTGAGTCTAATCATTTTTAACCATCAAACTTACCTTATCACTTAGTTCTGTTCAACACCCATGGACGTCAGTGGTAGACTGATGCTTCCAACATCCTACCTTACACCGCACATGATTGGGAATATTCTCCTTAAACACATTGTATCATGAATGTCAACCGAAATATTTTGTTGAGGTGACGTTCTAACCAAATGCAATTTGATACGTTCTCGGAAGATACCAGTGAGATATGACACGCTCATTTCAATACGAGTACATACTTCCTGTATTAAAATCTTTCACAACAATCCCCTGACTGAAGACGTTGACCAAATACAATTACCCTAGAAAATGTTTGTGAATACAACCGAGTCATCGTTCAACTAGAAGGTGTTAGCGGGTGTTTCAGGTAGAAATGTGAGCCATGAAATATGAAACACCCCTCAACACCTCAGAGCTGCCGAGTCATCAGGAGGTACACATGGACACCTTCAGGGACTTGTAAGAGGACGATCGTGTCAAAAGCAGGATGTTGTACCAAGTTTTAAACATACAAAACAGATCCTGATAATTCCAACATGTTAAGTTGGCATCTTTGGATCATGCCAGTTGTCAAGATTGATGAAATGCTCTGAATAGTTTATGGATAAGATATATGGATATCGATATACCATAAAACAGATCCTGATAATTCCAACATGTTAAGTTGGCATCTTTGGATCATCCTGGTTATGTGAGTGAGTGAGTATGGTTTTACGCCGCTTTTAGCAATATTCCAGCAATATCACGGCGGGGGACACCAGAAATGGCCTTCACACATTGTACCAATGTCGGGAATCGAACCAGGGTCTTCAGCGTGACGAGCGAACGCTTTAACCACTAGGCTACCCGACCGCCCCTCTGGTTATGAGAAGATTGATGAAATGCTTTGTATAGTGTATGGATAATATATATGGATATAGAGTGTATCAGAGCGTGTCAATTCCTGCACATGAAGTGGTGTAATTGGCGGATGTTGGAGAAGGTAGCTGTCACAACACCTGAAGAAAAACAATATTTTGTTAATTTCAGAATTATTCAATCACTTTAGTAAACAAACATGACGATCAATTCACATACATGTGGCATTTTTTCAAGTTATGTTTAATCGTGGACGGACAAATAATGCAGGAATTGCATGCACTAATATGACAACTGTATCTATATACATTAAGAATTAACTCCTACAGTATAAATGATTCGTTTACAGCTTCAGTTTTACTTACTGCATCTTAGGAGGCAACACCAGATGGCGTGGTCGCTGACCGTGAAGGAGGAATCAGTCAGTGACCGCTGGACTGTTGACGGTGAGACCAATGGCAGCTGGAGGATGAGGCTGAGGTTATTGGAAACTGAGGATGGACGGCAACTACGCCTGGCAACTGTTAAGGTGACTGAGGCTGCGTTCTGGTCAGTCGGAACGAGACCTGAAGTGATGAGGAGATTTTCGTTAACATATATGAAAGAGGCAATTAACAAGCATCAGGATAGGAACAGCTATTACTTGCCATCAATAATCTACCAACAACAACTTTAGAAACTATAACTTAGTTTACGGTGAGACCATGGACATCTGGATATGTTGGCTGGTCTGGATTAGTTTTGTAAGAGAGTCTGACAGGTGATGTACCTGAGGTAGAGGGAAGTTGATGAAGGTGGGGGTGGAGGCAGCTGGCAACTGATGCTGTCAGCTGGCGGCAATTGAAGGTTGAGGCTGGTGGCAACTGAGGCTGGTGGCAGGTGGCTTCTGAGGCTGGTGGCAACTGAGGCTGGTGGCAACTGAGGGTGGTGGCAGGTGGCTTCTGAGGCTGGTGGCAACTGAGGCTGGTGGCAGGTGGCAACTGAGGCTGGCCGCAACTGAGGCTGACGGCAACTGAGGCTGGCCGCAACTGAGGCTGACGGCAACTGAGGCTGGTGGCAACAGAGGCTGGTGGCGACTGTGGCTGGTGGCGACTGAGGATGGTGGCGACTGAGGCTGGACACAAACTTTAGAAAATAAATTAATGTTTAAAAAATGTTATTCTTAATTCAAAGACTCTATTTGTCAACATGTGTTATTGTGATTGGTCTTTACACACTAATATCATATACGTCAGACCTGTTCCTCTTTGACGAGGTGTATTGAATTGGAGTTTCTGGAACATCTAAGGGTGGTAGAGTTACCATTGCATGTGGAAAGGGGAGGGGGTGAATGTTGTAGAACGCCGCAGTCAGCAATATTACACCTAACATTTGACTGACAAGCGAACAGTGGTCGATGGGATTGTAGAATGATCAACGTATGTACAATCAACAACTTTTAGGTACTGGGTTATCTATTCTGCCCTGGGTCACCTCGAGAGCATATAGAAAAACCCTGTTAAATGTGGGTGAGTGGGCGAGGCCAAAACTCGCTAAATGCAATGTCTGTTCCCAATACAGGATATGTATTATCCAAAAATACACTCGCATGATAACCGGTACAATCGAGTGGCGTCAGGGGCCGTTTCCGTTCCTCATTGTGAATATCAAGTATCCAGTTAAATTGCATACATCTAGAGTTCATATACTAGTACTCACCATAGACAAGAGCGGAGGTGTGGTAGACGGGTGTGGTAGACGGGTGTGGTAGATGGTGCGGTGTACAGCTGCGGTAAGGGTGCCTGTACAAGTACAGATTGTGATCAGATGTCAATTCTCACAAACAGGAACACGAATTTAGAACTGAATTGACCAAAGGCGCGTCGAGTCAAGGAATAGATAGGTAGGACGTTTTGTACTTTTTAAGAAAGTTGTTAGGAACAGTCTAAAGAATTTAGAGTTTAATTTACAAACGCGGTGTTCTATACATCTTGGAGTTCTGAATGTCTTAAGAGAGGTGTTTGGAACGGTCTGTGTATAAAGTAAGTTACACGTTTAACCATCAAATACGCACAGTTGAAACTAACCTTGGCACTTAGTTCTGTTCAACAAACATCCATCTTCGTTGTAGACTGATATTGCCAACATCCTACCACAGCACCGCACATGATTAGGAAGAGACGTCTTCAACTCATTGTATCAAGAAAACAAACTGAAATATTTTGTTGAGGTGACGCAACCAGTAAGGTCTGACACGCTCATTTCAATGCTCGTATTAAAATCTTTCACAACAATCCCCTGACTGACGTTGACCAAATACAAATTACCCGAGAAAATGTTTGTGAATACAACCGAGTCATCGTTTAACTAGAAGGTGTTAGCGGGTGTTTCAGGTAGAAAAGTGAGCCATGAAACATGAAACACCCCTCAACACCTCAGAGCTGCCGAGTCATCAGGAGGTACACATGGACACCTTCAGGGACTTGTAAGAGGACGATCGTGTCAAAAGCAGGATGTTGTACCAAGTTTTGGACATACAAAACAGATCTTGATAATTCCAACATGTTAAGTTGGCATCTTTGGATCATGCCAGTTGTCAAGATTGATGAAATGCTCTGAATAGTTTATGGATAAGATATATGGATATCGAGTGTATCAGAGGGTGTCAATTCCTGCACATGAAGCGGCGTAATTGGCAGGTGTTGCAGAAGGTAACATGTCATCACACCTGAAGAAGAAACAATATCTTGTTAATTTCAGAATTATTCAATCACTTCTATAAACACACATGACGATCAGATCACGTTTGTAATGTCGTTCTTGAAGTTGTTTTCAGTGGACGGACAAGTATCGGGAATGTATGCACTAACATAACCACTGTTAAAGTGTACTATAAAGCAGAAAAATCAATCTTGCTTCAAATTGACGGGAAAATGTTTGCTCTAAACAATTAATTCCTAGAGAATAAATGATTCGTTTATAACTATAGTTTAATTTACCGCATTTGAGGATGTAACGCCAGATTAACTTTGTCGCCAATGACAGCTTGTGGCCACCGAGGGTGGAGACCTATCACTGCCTTTTTTCGGATGAACGAAGCCTGGTTAAGATGCCTGATCGAACCCCGGACCTTTCGCTCTCCGGGTGGACGCTCTACCACTAGACCACGGAGGCGGTTATAGTAACAATAACGATGCTAATCATGTATCGATGGTGTTCCTATTGTAGAACGTGAGCGAGTTGGGGTGTATTGTTCATGTATATTAATGCAACATTTGAGAACATGGTTCTAGATTTTGATGTCGCAATTTGAAGCTTGCTGTTGAGACTGGCATATACCATTTACGATGAAAGCTTAAATGAGTCGGATTCCTACTCTGCATTGAGGATCAAGTTCATTGTAAAACAATCAATTAATATCATACAATTGCAATTAGTATTTATATACAGAGTATTAGCATTGCTATTACAAGAAACGTCCGTCTATTGGTGTATGTGTAGAACAAGAAACGTCCGTCTATTGGTGTATGTGTAGAACAAGAAACGACCGTCTATTGGTGTTTGTATAGAACAAGAAACGTCCGTCTATTGGTGTATGTGTAGAACAAGAAACGTCCGTCTATTGGTGTATGTGTAGAACAAGAAACGTCCGTCTATTGGTGTATATGTAGAACAAGAAACGTCCGTCTATTGGTGTATGTGTAGAACAAGAAACGCCCGTCTATTGGTGTATGTGTAGAACAAGAAACGTCCGTCTATTGGTGTATGTGTAGAACAAGAAACGACCGTCTATTGGTGTATGTGTAGAACAAGAAACGTCCGTCTATTGGTGTATGTGTAGAACAAGAAACGACCGTCTATTGGTGTTTGTATAGAACAAGAAACGTCCGTCTATTGATGTATGTGTAGAACAAGAAACGACAGTCTATTGGTGTATGTGTAGAACAAGAAACGTCCGTCTATTGGTGTATGTGTAGAACAAGAAACGTCCGTCTATTGGTGTATGTGTAGAACAAGAAACGACCGTCTATTGGTGTTTGTATAGAACAAGAAACGTCCGTCTATTGGTGTATGTGTAGAACAAGAAACGACCGTCTATTGGTGTATGTGTAGAACAAGAAACGTCCGTCTATTGGTGTATGTGTAGAACAAGAAACGTCCGTCTATTGGTGTATGTGTAGAACAAGAAACGACCGTCTATTGGTGTTTGTATAGAACAAGAAACGTCCGTCATTTGGTGTATGTGTAGAACAAGAAACGACCGTCTATTGGTGTATGTGTAGAACAAGAAACGACCGTCTATTGGTGTATGTGTAGAACAAGAAACGTCCGTCTATTGGTGTATGTGTAGAAACAAGAAACGTCAGTCTATTAGTGTATGTGTAGAACAAGAAACGTCCGTCTATTGGTGTATGTGTAGAACAAGAAACGTCCGTCTATTGGTGTATGTGTAGAACAAGAAACGTCCGTCTATTGGTGTATGTGTAGAACAAGAAACGTCCGTCTATTGGTGTATGTATAGAACAAGAAACGTCCGTCTATTGGTGTATGTGTAGAACAAGAAACGTCCGTCTATTGGTGTATGTGTAGAACAAGAAACGTCCGTCTATTGGTGTATGTATAGAACAAGAAACGTCCGTCTATTGGTGTATGTGTAGAACAAGAAACGTCCGTCTATTGGTGTATGTATAGAACAAGAAACGTCCGTCTATTGGTGTATGTGTAGAACAAGAAACGACCGTCTGTTGGTTCAGTATAGAACAAGAAACGTCCGTCTATTGGTGTATGTGTAGAACAAAAAACGACCGTCTATTGGTGTATGTATAGAACAAGAAACGTCCGTCTATTGGTGTATGTATAGAACAAGAAACGTCCGTCTATTGGTGTATGTATAGAACAAGAAACGTCCGTCTATTGGTGTATGTATAGAACAAGAAACTGATTACAGCGCATTAGGAGTGTTTGTTGTAGTTGCATTAAGGAGGTACGAAAAAGGTACGAAGTCGGTGCAGATGAAACGAAATCTCACCGAAGTCCTTTGCGCCTCATCTAAAACACGCAGCAGAGCATGCTAGGGTTGTTGTTGCTGCAGCTGCTGTTGTTGCTGCTGCTGCTGTTGTTATCGTTGCTGGTCCCGGGCAAGCCTCTGTTGTTCCTCCCTTCTTCGTTGTTGCCGCTGTTACTGCTGTTGTTGTTGCTATTGCCGTAGCATGTTTACGGTCCTCTGTGTCTTTGATCCCTTCTCCTATTGTTGACTACCTGATTCTGAGAGAAAAAATATCCATTGAAGAGATAAAATAATATAAGGTATCTTATAAAGACGAAATAACGGTTTGTTGTAATTATAGATATTTATATAAATTACTGAATAAACTGTACTATATACTGCAGCTATGTGACAATCTGTAAACAGTATTGACAGTCCAGTGATTGACATCATGAGCATCGATCAACACAATTGGGATAGACTATCTAAAAAACTGGCACCTATGGACAGTACAATAACTAGAATATCACCGATTAAAATATAAAACTAGCATACAACCATAAAATGATATCAATATATGTAACAATACAATATAAAAAAGGTCTATACATCGCCAACAACTGAAGGTAGATCACCATGCTAGGGTCTCGTGTGGCTTGAATATTGCTGAGTGTGGCGTTAAACAACAAACAGATCAATGTACAAAATCATGACCATGTGATCGATGTTGTGAGCAACGATCCGATCCTGATCACCCGATCCATTAAGTCATCTAGCCTGATCACCCGATCCACTAAGTCATCTAGCCTGATCACCCGATCCACTAAGTCATCTAGCCTGATCACCCGATCCACTAAGTCATCTAGCCTGATCACCCGATCCACTAAGTCATCTAGCCTGATCACCCGATCCATTAAGTCATCTAGCCTGATCACCCGATCCACTAAGTCGCCCCTTACGAGCAGCATATGTTGCTGTGGGCCATTCTATCCCGGAATCACGAGATGTTTTTGTGGAACATTGTGTTATGCACAGGAGAGTTAAATACGAGGTTTAACTGAAATGCTGAGGGGAGGAAGTAAAAGCTATGGTCAGGAAGCTCAACACTAAGATGAGGTCACTTTGACAATGTCATGGACGATTAATTCAGGCATTTTAGGCTACATGGCAAGAAAGTTATTCAACAAAGATGAATCTTACACTGTCAATGAGAATTAACTACATAGATGCCTCGATATATACTCACAGTTGGAACCGCCTGTGTCGCCAAAGTGCCTAATGGCAGTGCCGTCACTGCCGTCACTGGTGCCGCTGTAGTGGGTGCTGCCGATGCTGCCGATGCTGCCAATGTAGAAGCTGTCGCCGTTGTTGTCGCTGTCGATGTTGCCGTCGCTGTTGCTACCGTTGCTGTCGCCGTTGTCGCCGTTGCTGTCGACGAGAAGCCCTGTAAGGGAAGGAATGTAAGAGTTCACATTATGTACGTGTGTACATGCACGTATACAGACAGTGCACGTGCTCGTTGTGTATATCGTGGCCCCCCAAAAAGTTTTCCATGCCTGTTACCGACCGAACATACCTTGTTTCTTAAGGGAGATTTATATTTAACAATATATGACTACAATAACTAGCTATAACCCTGACAATAAAACAACGCTTAGTCACCAATGTGAGTTTTTAACTGAATGTCAAACCCTTCATTTTGTCCTTAGCTCATGTACATGTAGACTGGAATACGAATTCATGTGCACATCTCTCATTTTCGTAATTTTGAAGTTCCAAGAACTGATTACAATTTATCTAGTAGTTATATAAATAGTCGCAGTTCAGAGACTCGATTACGGCATTGTGCAGACACAAGACGTATCACCAACACTGTAGGTATGGCCTGTGTCAACATCAAGGTGTCGCGCCACCACAAGACTATTATGCTGTTCACATTGGTGTTAAACCTGAATTCATTCTTGTATCTGACTAACATTTGCCTTTACCGCCTGTTCTCCTCCTTCACCCGCCGATTCTCCTCCCTCAGAGCTTGATTTGGGTTTGAGCTTTGTTCACTTTACACAGACATTTGACTCCTCGATATTACAATACCCACTTTTTGTAAGAAAAAGGCACATACCTGTTTTAAGTAAAACAGGGGATTGAGTCCCTCCCTCCCTCCCCCGACAATTAGATGGTTGCTCCCTTAGCCACAGTCAAACCAGCAAGCACGTGCCCAGGGACTATTGGTGTGTTCAGTGACAAGCAACTGAAAGCGTGTAGGTTGATGAATTCTCGTGAAGCTCAAACATATTCCCAAGTCGCAAGCGCCTTGAAACAATGGGAGACGTCACCAACCTCCCGGCCTATCTGACAGTGTTATGCAACGACGCTCTGGGTGGACATGTCGAACATGCTCTCCCCGAGTAACAAGCCTTGCTCCGTCCATAGGACATCAGCCAGACAATGGAAATCAACATCGTGTAAAACATCGGACACACAATGTTTTACCAATAATATTATTATAAGTTGATCATTCTTGATCATTATCCATGTTTCAACGTCCATTGTCCACAAGCTATCGCTGCAATATTCAGTCAGTATTGTTAGAATAGTTGTACTTTTCATGCTTTTCCTTATTGGCGTAGACTTTATTATCACGTTTTACGGATTTCATTAAAGCACATTTTCAGAAATAAACCTGATTGATACAAACTTCTTTATTTGATTTGATAGGGATCCCTACAAGTAAGCACTTTAACTTGCAGGGGGAGGGTAACCTATGGGATAAAACATTCGCTCGACAAGCCTAAGACCGGTTCCATTCCGCCCATTGGTGGACCGCCTCCGTGGAATAGTGGAAGAGCGTCTGTCCGGAGGGCGGAAGGTCGTGGGTTCGATCCCAGGAAGGGTAATACCAAAAGGCGTTACAAGATGGTACTTGTTGTTTCCCTGTCTGGCGCTCAGCATTAAGGGGCTAAAACAAGGACTGGCCGTCTCGGAGTCAGTAAACTGTGTCTGAGTGGGGTATTCATGTTAAAGTGAGGCATGGTACAGTATCTTTTTCATATTTTGATAAGGAAAAAGGGTTTGAATCCGTATTGTTTGTTTTGAGGACGTCTTATTGTCGACATCAGCTACGGCGACACGTGACAGTACGGCGTGAAATATTTTTAAATAATCCTAAAAGCTAAAAATATTAATATGTATATAATGTTGTGTTACAGCGGGTTACCTCTATCAATGTTCCTTTTGAAAGCGATTAGATAAAGCCTTAACGTAAAAATCCATCAGGTAAACTTATATATCCTTGTTCAGGGCTCAGTATTTCCTATAATGCCCGCAAGCGTGTATGTACAACGTGCAAGTGATTGATAAAAATACTGGACCCCGTGAACTTATGAAGAGCCGTGTACATGTATTGTAAGTATCAGCTCGCGACGGAGCTTGGCGCACGAGAACGTGCAGCGTGGAACGTATTCCTCGTGCATCACGCAAGGGCGACCCACACTGTATAAATATAGTCTACAAAGGGTTCTGGTTTATTATCCCCCGCCAACTTTGTTGGGCGGGGGATATAGAAACGGGCTCCGTCCGTCCGTCCGTCCGTCCGTACGTACGAACGCCCGTCCGTACGTACGAACGCCCGTCCGTCCGTCCGTCACGTTTCGTTTCCAGAGCATAACTCAGAAACCGTTAAATGTTTTTTCATGAAACTTTGCAGGTCTGTTAAATACATGCTGAACTGGTGCCTTTTGCTATCTAGACATTTTAGAAAATTTTATTTTTTACGTTTCCATGGCAACAAGATGGACTTAGGTTCTGTGAGGGTAGGGTTCGTTTCCGGAGCCTTAACCTATAAACAGTTCAATATTGTTTCATGAAACTTTGCAGGTCTGTTAAATACATGCTGAACTGGTGCCTTTTGCTATTTAGAAATTTTAGAATTTTTTCATTTTTTACGTTTCTTAGGCAACAAGATGGACTTAGGTTCCAAACTCTTCTGTTTTTTACAATTTCCATGACAAGTTCCACCTCGGTTAAAAAAGGTTAGGGTTTGTTTAGATTTAATTATGTCTTAAATTCTGCAACAGGGGCGGGGGATATAGCCACGTTAGTGGCAAACTCTTGTTTTGCAATTATTTTCCACAAGAGAATGTTTTGTCAAAGTGTAAAAGTAGCCTCGGCTCCATTTTTTTAAAGGAATGGAGAGTTTCTCGGACATTCCCTTCTACAGAGCTTCAACATTGCTGATGTGGAGTTTGGCAATAATCACTCCTTAACACACTTTTATGGGACCCTATTTCAGGCGGAATCTTGGATTCGAACCCGTTATGCTGGCGAACTCTGCACAGTTAGATGCGGCGCTAATAACAAGAACAAAGAACCCCCGTTAATCCAGACCGTAGCGAGATGACATTATCTATACATGTACATGTTCACAACATTTACCGGATTAACGGGGTCCTGACAAATGAGGTTTCGGTGTGAGTCCAGCTGTTGAAGACATTCTGACAATAAGTAGTGATGCTTCCTTCCTGAGGCAGCTGACAATGGTTATAAGTCTATAGAAAGAAAGGGGAGATTGGAGACCTCGGATTTCAGAAAATATTTTAATCATGACGGATTACATTTATCAAGTGCTGTATGACTGGGAGAAGTTCAGGTACACTAAATCTAACCAAGTCTTTTTTATATATATGATCAACACCTGATTTATGACGGCGCCATCTAATCCGTCTGGCGGGATACCACCCTAAGTCAATAATTTCAGGAACTCGAAGTCATTTGGTATAAGTAAGTAAGACAGAAGTACAGTTATGTCACATCGTGTTCATCTTAAGCTGTGGGGGCGGTCGGGTAGCCTAGTGGTTAAAGCGTTCGCTCGTCACGCCGAAGACCCGGGTTCGAATCCCGAAATGGGTACAATGTGTGAAGCCCATTTCTGGTGTCCCCCGCCGTGCTATTGCTGGAGTATTGCTAAAAGCGGCGTAAAACTAAACTCACTCACTCACTCATCTTAAGCTGTGAGGAAACTGTGACTTTCTGCTGAAACCCCGTAGTGCCTATCTGCTGTAGATTTAAGAGGGGTTCGGGGATGTGTGGACCGTCACATCGACTCTACGCCTAAATGAACTGAAGCGTGCACCTGTTGACTGTTGCCTTATGGCGGCCTCCTAGGTCACATGTCTGTCTATAGGGTCTCAACGACTGGGAACAGTTAATTTTACCTCTGGGCTTTAGTGATACCAAATACCAACTGTCAAAAATGATTTTTAAAGTCATCCTTGTGTATAATATTAATTTCCAACAGTATATGTTGGTTTATTGTACCCTAATTTTGCAATAAGTGTTTCGAACTACAAACAGAAACGTAGGCCATTTGAAATGGTATCTATTGTGCGCTAATCGCGAGACGAATAAATATGCAATCTTTCCTGTCCTCGTGTTGAATGAGTGCACACATAGCAAATCAGGTTTGGTCAAAAACGAATCTGTAATTTCTCTGAACTAATTGTAATTAGATATATAACTTTTCTTAGGCATCAAAAGGTGAGGTGAAATGGGGTTTAACGTCGCGTCCAAGATTATCGCACTTATATAGCGACGTGCATGCACGTGTGTGTGTATGGCTGCTTGTACTAGTCCGGACTGATGTCGATTTATAGTGCTAGCTCACTGAGATACCATGTCGCAGTTTAACATGAATACCTCACTCAGACACAGTATACTGACTCCTAGCCAACCAGTCCTTGTTTGAGCCCTTTGACGCCGAGCGCAAGACAGGGTAACAACAAATACCATCTTTTAACGTCTTTTGGTATGACGCGGCTGGGGATCGAACCCCGGACCTTCCGCTCGCCGGGCGGACGCTAGACCACGGAGACGGCCTTAGTCATGAAAAGAGCTACTCTCAATGACATAAAGTATTGTTCTATTTCTCATCATACACTTTTGTTAATATAACCTAACGAATAACGAGCAATTTCTCTTCTGCGCTGATCATTAAATTGACTAGCTCTGCTAGATTGGTTCTCGTAGTTTGATGTTGTAAATCCAAATCCTGGACTGCTGACAAGACCCCCTTGTCAACCTCATGGCTCGTGTGTGCAGTCCTGTGATAAGTCTTTTCTTCGAATGTTTATAGAGGCATTAATGTCAACAGGTTTTCTGTTAAAAAACATTATTTATGAGCATTTCTTTTGTGGTGCTATATAAACGTCTATCGTATAAAAGTCTACAAGTCGATCATTTCTAGAGAGAAATATTGCATACAATTATCGTAACCTCTTAGCAACAAAATCAACTAAGAGACCGGCATTTTGATATTTTGGGGAAGTGGGCTGGGCGTATTGGATATATTTGTTTCAGGGTCTGTATGACAGACAAGGGCGCAGCTTCAAGCAGGCGTTCGACCGCCTCCGTGGTCTAGTGGTAGAGCGTCCGCCCGGAGAGCGGAAGGTCCGGGGTTCGATCCCCGGCCGCGTCATACCAAAAGACGTTAAAAGATGGTACTTGTTGTTACCCTGTCCTGCGCTCAGCATTAAGGGGCTAAAACAAGGACTGGTCGGCTCGGAGTCAGTATACTGTGTCTGAGTGGGATATTCATGTTGAACTGCGGCATGGTATCTCAGTGAGCTTGCACTATAAATCGGCATTAGTCCGGACTAGTACAAGCAGCCACACAAACACGCACACGTGCATGCACGTCGCTATATAAGTGCAATAATCTTGGACGCGACGTTAAACCCCATTTCACCTCACCCCAAGCAGGCGTTCGACAATATGACTGTCTGGATGGCGCAGGTTGTAGTTTGACTGAAGATACTGGAACACTGTATTCTCATACTGTCACCACTACACTGACATATGTAGATTGCTCCCGCTAACTCGAACTCGCGAAGTTTCCTGTCACCTCGGGTGCAAGCCATGACCTCGAATGTCCCGCGGACTTTAAGAGACGACGGCCATGAGGGTTGGACTGTTACAAGGTATGGTCGTACTGGTTGTGTGTCATCAGTGTTCATACAATCAACCTCTGGTTTTTCTTATCCAGACTCGATCACTTTGACCTAACGTGAGATATGAACTGACTCACTGACTCACTGACTCACTGAAATCATTCCAGCAACACCCTGAGTATGGTGACACCGTATTGACTGTAGCAGTGAACGCCTCAGGGTTGATCAGCGCCCTGACTTGGTGACACCGTATTGACTGTAGCAGTGAACGCCTCAGGGTTGATCAGCGCCCTGACTTGGTGACACCGTATGACTGTAGCAGTGAACGCCTCAGGGTTGATCAGCGCCCTGACTATGGTGACACCGTATTGATTGTAGCAGTGAACGCCTCAGGGTTGATCAGCGCCCTTGACTTGTATCAAACTGAGACATTGTCTCTCTGTAATTAGTGACTTGTATCAAACTGAGACATTGTCTCTCTGTAATTAGTGACTTGTTTCAAACTGAGACATTGTCTCTCTGTAATTTGTGAGACATTGTCTCTCTGTAATTAGTGACTTGTATCAAACTGAGACATTGTCTCTCTGTAATTAGTGACTTGTATCAAACTGAGACACTGTCTCTCTGTAATCTGTGACTTGTATCAAACTGAGACATTGTCTCTCTGTAATTTGTGACTTGTGTCACATTTAAATATTGTTTCTTGTAATTCGCGTATTCCTTCATTGCTAGACTAAAACAACTTGAGTTAGCAGACAAATAAAGTGAGTCATAATTGACTGAAAGCCAGGCTGCTCTGACTGCCAAGTTGCTCGTATCTCATCCCCTTTTAATATACAACCAACACAAACCTAAGAGCTGCATGATCAGCGGAGAGCCTCTCCTTTCACGTGTCTGTGACGTTTTATCTAAATCCCTTCTGTTAGAAAGTAGTGACGTGCTGCCACACACCCTACCTTGCACCCCCTCCCCCCACAACCAGCTATCAGGTTACACTATAGTGGCACCCGACCCCTTCAACACACTCCATAGTCGGGATACCGATATACCACAGCGCCGCTCAGACAACATAAGCCATTGTATAGGACAGTCTTCACTCTCGCCAAACACTTTAAAAGCCATATTTTCAACAACATTGTGATCGAATCACCTTCAAAGGGATTGCACTGAAAACACAAGGCTACGTGGACGTAAAATTAGTCATGTGACCTGTCTGAATTTACGTACGGCACTTAAATATTGAAATACTCAAAGAAGTTATAATTTGTGTGTTGCTCCTAGGAACAACGGGCCATGTCACTTGAGTATCGATCAACTGATTGTGCACGACGCTCAGGTAGAAGGCAGGCACAATACAGGTAACAGAGGGAGGATTGCGGAAGAGCTGGAAGACATGTGACCGTGAGTAGAATCTCGATAAGGGTTTATTTCATTTCGCTGGCTTTAATGTTAGATTACCGATTTACGTTAGTATTGGTTTATGTATATTAGTGTCTGTTTACAAGGAGATTGATTGTTTGTTGTTTAGTTTGTGGATTTATGAGATCGAGGAAATTTTATCCAATCTCCGAACCTTTGATGTGGCAGATGCTGGTTACTTGACGGCAAACAAATATTACTGACACGGTTTCGGTTAGCAGGACAATGTGTTCCCTGATTGTATGGTATAAAACATAATAACATATTAATTAAGAATACGATCTCCGTTGGTCTCTGGGCACAACTTGTATCATATATTTTCTAAGAATTGTCTACCTGCAGTGTTGAATGTTCCAAGGTCTCTTGTGTTGCGTCAGATATGTCCGGGACATGTGTCAATGGAGAAATGTCAAGGAAGCTATTGTCAAGGAAAAGCTATGGTGATGAGAACTTGATTGAAATTCTGACAATAATGATAATATAAACATTGAAACTGAAATACTAACTATAAATGTTTTAACTATGAAAACATTTATTATAGTTGGCATTTCAGTACTAACTTGAAAACAATTTATTATGATGTGTAAGCAAATAATTATTTGTGCAAGTTAAGGAGTATCTCTTTCCTGATACCAAGTAGCAAATAGACATTCAGTATTAATTTGTATACCAACAATATGTCTCCTTACACACCAACAAGAATATTCGGTGTCCTTTCGTTTAGGGCTATCTATTTTACAATATTAGAGAATAATAAACTCGGGCTACTGTATTAGCAAAACTGATAGATCCGATATTAATCTACAGATGGAAAATGTCTAGTCAAGTAGCTGGTTTTACTGTTGATGGTTATTTAAAATAACAACCTGCAGCCTGGCCCTGAGACAAACATCAACACAGGGCCGTCCGTGAATGACGGACCATGGGTTCGGGATGCGCTTATTAAGTGACTCTATAGTATCCTTCATAGTATTATTTTACTTAAACCTTATACACAAGATATTTCACGGACTGTGTGTCATTCCAGAAAAAGGTAAAAATGTGCTCTACGAAAATGTCGACTAAGGAGAAGAGTCAGTTGTAGTTCAGCTTTTATATAACCTGATATAATGTCCCTGGTCTAGAGCATAGAACGCCCGTCTGTCAGATGCCGTCATGTCAGAAGACGTTAAAAGATGGTACTTGTTGTCACCCTGCCTGGCGCTCGGCATTAATTGTATAAAACTAGGACCGGTCGGCTCGGAGTCGGTATACTGTGTCTGAGTGTGGTATCCAAGTTGAACTGCTATCACTATAAAACCGGACTAGGACACACACACACACGCACGCACGCACGCACGCACGCACGCACGCACGAACACACACACACACACAGTGTGCTAGAGTTTGTACTTAGACATGCGTGTCTTATTCTTTGAGACAAGCATATTATTACCGGCGTACACACAAACAACAGACACACATACACACATACACAGATGCATGCATGTCGCCATATGATAGTGAAAGTGCAGTTATGTTGAACGCGATCTCAAACCTCACCTCACCTCATCTCACCTCACCTCACCTCACCTTACCTTACCTCATTTCAAAAGACATAGATCTTTACGTTGTAAACAACGACAGTAGACATTGGGCAGTATCCACACCTCGTTCAGTTATGTTGTCACTTGTTTGTGCCTGTTCCCAATTCTTGAAATAATCAGGCAATTATTGATAGATTATTGGACGTGAAGTGGTGGCAGGGACAGAATGGTTGGCATGGGTCTGGAATTTCCGACAGATAATGGCCTGGTGTGGCAGCACTATCAGCCAGCGTGATGGTCGCCTCTCATGCGGAAATCATACAACTGTTTCATTACTGCAATCATGCTCGCCTGTCAGTAATAAATCTTATTCTTTCGCAATTTCAACTGTTTTCCGATTCTTTAATATTTAATCAGCCCAAGTCACTACCGACCACACCTGTCCCCTTGCTGACAAGCGTCTGTTGTTTCTGTTTGTGTACCGACCGATGAAGCAATACACATGGCTATCTACCGGGACTGCGCACTTTCATTCTGTAGAGGACTCCTTATTGTACGAGACAATACCATGTTGCCAAAAATAGCTATTTCTGTATCTGTGTGAGTTTGTCTACCGGGCCTAGGCTGAATTAATTAATCATGTATCCATCTTTCATTGGTACAATCGTTTAATATGTTCGATAGGATCATTACATTGTACATTGCCACACTCGTGTTTGTCATGGAAGATTTTAGACAAACTACATAAAACAAATTATGTCTTTTTTTTCTGAACAATTGCGTGGTATTCATTTCAATCCTGCCTAATTACTTGGATCGATGCTCATGATGTCAATCACTGGATTGTCTGGTCCAGACTCGATTATTGACAGACCGCCGTCATACAGGTGGAATATTGCTGTGTACGGCGTTAAACAACAAACAAGCAAAAACCTGCATATACATGGCCACGCTAGCCCTAAGACACAGTATGCCATATGCACCAAAGAGAACTGCTGCACTGTGCATATGTCAACGTGACCCAGTTACCGGTATACATCCTGGTGTGTTTATTGTTTATGTTTACACACTGTGTACCATGGCGACATCGTAATAACAATAACGCCAGTCATACTGACACACCAAAACAAAATATTCGTTCTTGATGTGCCCCGCGACAGGCACTTATGCAACGATGTTCTTATGGTTGAAGAGTATCAAAGGTGTTCTAATGTACCCCAGAATAAGAAAATCGATCTGTTTCAAAAGACAGAAATGTATTTACTACTTCAAAGGCCCCATCGAACCTTTTCGAGACAGCGGGGGTAAATCTACTGTTTGGGATTTTACACACTTAACTTAAGAGTTGAACATACGTTATTATCGTCAGAATAGGGCGCACACAGAGCGAGGTACTCTGAAATGAACACCGATCTCCTTGTTGACATTGTTTGTTTAATGTTGACAGCTGTGGTGAGTTGATGCCACGGCTGTGATGTACAATCAAGGTTGTAGATTACACCACGTCATGCGTGGCACACAGACAATACATGCCGGCACAGGGTGTATCGTCAAGTTGTGTGGATGTACTGGTCACTGAAAGCTACGTGTCTTTGATTCAGAACAGTGGGTATCACAAGGTGAGACATAAACATATTTTCGAAAAGTTTATCAAGATGGTATATGGTCCATTGATTAGGGTTATTTCAAAAGTATGTCTATTTCAAAGTTATAACTGTTTTTTCCAAAAAGTATCTGTGAACCATTTCACATTTCTCGCTGCGTTTGTGGACAGTCAGGACTCTACTGCACGTCCATTTGTAGAAATGGAACTGGTTTTATGTGGGTGAGGTGAGGTGAAATTTGGTTCAACATCGCGTCCAGGATTATTGAATTTATATAGCGACGTGCATGCACGTGTATGTGTGTGGCTGCTTGCTCTACTCCGGACTGATATCGATTTATAGTGCTAGCTCACTGAGAAACCATGCCGCAGTTTTAAGATGAATACCACACTCAGACACAGTATACTGACTCCGAGCCGACCAGTCCTAGTTTTATACCATTAATGCCGAGCGCCATACAGGGTAACAACAAGTACCATCTTTTAACGTCTTTTGGTATGACGCGGCTGGGGATCGAACCCCGGACCTTCCGCTCTCCGGGCGGACGCTCTACCACTAGACCACGGAGGCGGTCACTGGTGTTAGCGGTGATATTTAATGTATTGCTATTTCTGCCAACGAACCGAAACAAAACGGCTCCTTATACACGTACTTGCAACAGGACTGCAGTATGCTAATGGTAATGGCTGTAGAGCCATACGTAAGAGGTGAATCTAGGACCCTAATATTCTTGTACTTTTTAATATGTTTATAAAATTATTACACAAGATTGGACCAGTGAAGATCCGGGGTGGAATAGATCTTCAGCAACCCATTCTTCCCGTAAAAGGTGACTATGCTTGTCGTAAAAGGCGACTAACGGGATCGGGTGGTCAGGCTCGCTGACTTGGTTGAAGCATGTCATCGATCCCAATTGCGTGGATCGATGCTCATGATATCAATCACTGGATTGTCTGGTCCAGACGTGATTATTTACAGACCGCCGTCATATAGCTTGAATGTTTTTGAGTGCGGCGTTAAACAACAAACCAACCAACCAACATAAGATTGAGTGAGTAAGTTGAGTTTAACACCGTTGTGAAAAGTATAACTCTTCAAAAAAAAGGAAACGCAATACGGATATTTTTAGCCATAAAAGCAAAATAAGCGAACCAAGAGGTGCCAAAAGGAAAGGTTTAATGTGTTGTAGTGTCAGTGACAAATTTCTCGGATCAGAATGATCACAACAAGGACATGCAAACCATTAGTCGGGAAACACGTACAATTCGGAAGAACGCACTCAGTGCATTAACAAAAAGACCAAGGAGCTGCATGTGCTGCACGTGCAGCAGCACAAAGAACGGTATTAAAGTGCAGGGTTTTTGATTGTCTGGCATCTGCGTCAATCGAATAGTGACAGTTCAACAACATGCCAAAATTAACCGAAGTGCAAAGAAACAAAGTCATAGGCCGCTTGCAAGCAGGGGAATCCCGATCAGCTGTTGTCGAGGTTTCAAGGTAGCGCCCAGCACCATCAAAAGGCTATGGGATCGGTTTGAACAGCATGGGTGTGATCGGCCAAGATCGGGACGACCAAGAGTAACCACCCCCGCCCAAGATCGCTACATCCGACTGCGTCACCTACGTATAAGGACGACCACAGCCACCTCAAACGAAACCGTTTAAGAGCAGCAGGTCTACGAATAAGACATCCTGTTCGACGCGTCATATTGAGTCGACAAGATCGTCAACAACGACTGCATTGGTGGCGTCAACACAGGGTATGGCCTCAACTGCGATGGAGAAATGTCTAGTTCAGAGACCAATCAAGATTTCTCCTCCGTCGAGGGGATGGAAGAGCACGGGTCTACAG